TTTGGGACATTTGCCTCTTCCTTATGGCAAAGATCTCCTTTGCCGCTAAAGCGGACCTGATAAGGCACTCACTGCTTCTCATTTTTGACCATTTCCGCACTGCACTTTGCATTCGCGCAGAGCTGCTCGGCCGCACCCGCCCGGCTTGCACACGTTTTCCTGCCCTTAGTCTTGTGTTCCCAGTAAATTCTACTAGTCTCCTTTTAACAAAATTTTGCTTGCCATAGTTTGTTAAGAGCTATTCTACAGGGACGGGAATCAGAAGGATCGTCTGCTGCCAGATGATATTTGGGGGTGCACTTCTAGGCAGAACCGGGATCAGACGGGCCTCGGCAGCTAGGTGCTATTTGGTGACATACCTCCAGGCATAACTACCACACGCTGAGATCTACTACTAAAAGCATCAAAGTTCCAGGACAGCAGAATTACACCTAAGGTAATTGTAACATCCTTTGCAATTTAAGCTGATATAAAATCTGAGATCAATTGTTCCATAACTATGGCAGATAAGTTTACAATGCAGAACTTTAAGAATTATTTTACTTCATATATAGAAGGGATTTTAGCAGAAGAAACTTATGGCTGGACCAATATGTACTTTTATTTTGTAATAACAATGGGTTTCATCATTAATATGATATTCTTAAAGAAATGGTTTGAGATTACAGCAAACAATAAGGAACTTGTACAAACCATAGGAGACTTAGTAACAAGGATTGGAAACATTAAAAATGATAGAATTCAAAGCATAGAAAGTATAAAAAGAAAGGTTCAAAATATTAAAGATGGTGTTGGCGAGCTGACAGGTAGAATTTGTTTCATGTCAGATACCTCAATAACCAGAACAAAAACAATACAATACATTAACACACTAACAAAAACAGCTCGTTCCTGGTCGGAGGAAGCTACTAATAAGTTTAAAAAACTAAAACATCAGATAGAAAGACTAGATGATAGAATCTCTCTTCCATGTCTGAGGATAATGGCAAGCTAACAGATAGAACATTGTTTCTGGAAGGCAGTTTACATGCCATTCAGATAATATCTAAGGATGAGAAGATTAAAAACATGGAATCATTTGTAGTTGGAGAAAGTAAGAAACTGATGCAATGAAGTCTCTAGAAAGTTATTTGATTTAAAAAGTTCAGACACTCAAAAAAACAATGGTGAATAGATTTCAGGCTTTAGAAGACCTTCAGTCTGATACATCAGAAGAACAACTACAGGTAACAGAGCATGAAAAAGATTTAAAATTTTCCACACCATTTAGGGTCAGGGGAGCTTTCCCTGTATCTATTCATGAAAAGCCAGCAACGAAGAAACATCCAAAAGGTGTCGTTGCATATCAGTGGGAACCAATACGTATGAAAGATTTAAAAGGTATAAAGGCAGCAGTAGTCTCTTATGGCATGCACTCACCTTATGTGAAGCAATTAGTAGAATCATGGACATGGAATAACAAGGTAACCCCTAAGGATTGGGATCAATTAATATCAGCTGTCCTTAAAAACTCAGTCAAAAATTTTCTGCCACACAGTGACTAGCTACATATGTCACAGCCAGCTCTGTTGAGAAATTTGGTTGCTAAAAGTTTTCTTCCTACAGGATCCATTGGAGCAATCATCGTCCCATTTCAGCAGGAAGTAACCTTAAGATAACGACGCCCCCTTTCCCTACCCTTGGAATTTTGGGATAATAGTCATCATCTTTGGGTTGGTTTTAGTTATTTAGGGTTGGGTATGGAAGGTGATGCTTACACTCGGGTTTATCTTTTAGACAGGAATAGGGAATGATTGGGAAAGGTATGGTTTAGATGGGATATAGGTAGATTAGCCTATTTTCTTGAGAATTTGAGTAAGAATGAGATAGTATTTTACAGCTTACATTGTTATGTATTCTTATGTGGTAAGCTATGTTAAATTAAGTTTATATTTTCTTATATTGTGCTAAATCTTTCCACTTACAATGTTTTATGCACATTATTTTTTACCATATTCTATGTATGTATACTTTTCTTGTATTCAAGACATTTTGTATATTGATACAATTGGGATATTTATCTTGCTGCCCTTTATAGTTCTACCTCTTGTCTTGACACTTATACTCTACCTCTATTTTAGGGATTTACATGTATGTATATGTATATAGTTATATTGCTTAAGTATTTGTTCCTGCTTTACTCAGGGAAGTTTTAATCAGTTTTTTAGCTAAGTCCCTGAGTATTACAGATTATCTTCACTCATGTTTCCTGTACCTATGAGATTAGTCAGATATAGATGCTTAATCTTCAATCACTTCATAGACATGCAGAACATGCCATTTAAATGTTTTAATATTAGTACTCCATTGACATGAGTCACTGTTGCTCCTGACAGCACCATACACTTTCCCGAAAATATGTTGGACACTGTTGTTGCTCCTGCTGGAGTTCAATCTCGCCTCAGCTAATGGCCTGTTGGGCAAAGAATTACCCCCACCTTGACCACTGATTTGGACATGCAGTCCTATGTGCTTACAGGAGACAAATATAGAAGACTGCTTGACCTTGCCAAGTCAGGGTAAGACAGCCATTCTACCTCCCTGCTGTTGTTGTGGTCTGTCAAGTTCTCTTGGCCTTAGCCAAATCTGGGTGTACCAACGTCGCTGTGAGACCTAGGGTGACTGTTCAGGTGGCTTGCTGTTTCTGTCCTTGCTACACCTTTTGGAAGTTGTCCATCCGCACTTCCTGTCTACTCTAGTATTGTTATTTTCCTTCTCAGGTCTTGATGGGGTTGAAGACTAAACTATCACAACTATTATTCTCTCTTCCTAGTTAGATATATTAGGAACTAGACTTATGTTTTCCAGCTTAGGACAACTCTATTGTAAACTCCATTATGCCTTCACCCTAGGACTAGATATGTAGGGCATTTTGTTCTCGATTTTCCTTTTCTTAGCGCACACTTGTTATTCACTGTTTTGTATATAGTTTTGCATTAAGCCTAAATCTTTTCTTTAGACTAAAAGGGGAATTGTAGTGAGATAGTCCTTCTGTGGCACTGACCACGCCCATTGGGAGGTGGAGCCATGGGCGGAAGTGACCTGTGGAAGGAGGTCGGAGGGAGAGCCGGGAAAAGCTCTCTTGCGGAGAGGATCGGGTTGAATTTCCTGGTGTTCATCTATCTAGGTTGTAAGTTATTTCTCCCTGAATAAACATCTATTCGGGCTATTTGTTTATCCTGATCCTTATTTAACCACGATAGGTTTTGTTTTAAATTTCACATCAAATTGGCAGATAAACAACCCAGTAGTTTGGAACTATAAAGTATTGTTGTAAGTTAGGACAACCAATGAGCATTAAAGGAAAAAAAAAAAATAGGGAGTAACTATTAAGGGAAAGCAAGATTGCTCAGCGGGTAAGGGTACTTGCCACCAAGCCTGAGTTCAATGCCTGGAAGTCACACATATGGAATAAGGAGTGAGACCCAATGCCCTCACGTTTTCCTCCGACCTCCACAATCATGTCATGGCACAAATAAACACATACACAATAAGTAACTTTTTGTAAAAGGAAACTAAAAGTAACTGTTGTTCTTCAATTTAAAAAGACTTTACCTTTTCAGTCATACCCTATTCTACACATCAACTTCCATCAACTGTTAGCTCGACTAAAGGCAGAAGTACTAGCAACTAAGGCAATTTCAACCCAAAAGTGTAAATGAGGTATATGACTTCAAGGGACTCTTTGAGGTTTAATCTAATTTAAAAGTATGAAACAGTCTTTTAGATTTTTTTTTTCAGGTGCATTTTTACAAGCATGATTCTGCTACTTTTTCTTTCCCACAATTAATTGAAACCTTATGCTGCAGAAGAACATAGTTATTCCTATATTTTATTCACACATACCTCCTAAATTTTCGTGAGGAGTAATGTCACCGTGTATTTGTATAAAGTAACCCATGTTCTAAAGATGTATCCCTGTTTGGAAAACAGACTTTAACTTACTGATGCTGAAACGGTTCTGAGGTTTCCATTGGATGACTTCTGTTTACCCACCATTTAACTTCAGAAATATTTTCCCTCCTCTTCTTAAACCAGACAGTAAGCCAGCCGAGGGTTCCTCCGGCCAAGCTGCTCATCTGAAACTCAGGCCCACTAGTGCAATGACAGGCACTCCTAAATTCTAACACATCTCAGTCCCTTTTTATGTCCTCACAGATCTTCTGAACCACAGAAGGCTCTCCTTGTCTCTCTGCTTAGAGGTTTGCATAAGCGATGAAGGCACTGCTGACAAATTCAGCTGCTATTTTCAACTCTCCACTTGCTTGTCACTCTGTAATTGCAGCAACTGCAACTGAAAGTACTTCTACTTGAAGGCCATTTGACAGAGGGGACGAAAACACATTTGCTCTTTCAAGGCTTGTGTATTTTCCTGGGAGAAGCCTGACTATAAAATGCGTCCTTTTATCCTCAGAGAGCTATTTGGGAAACATCTTTGGGTAGAGCCATGATAAAGAGCCCTTTCCCTGCATCCTCCTCCTCGCCTTCCCCCCTGACTTCTAAGCCCTCCTGTGTGGGAGCCTTCTTCCCCCCAGGAGGAGACGGAAAATTCACATGTGTCAGTGAAAATACTGAACTCCCTTCATTCTTCAGTCTGAAGAGCTGTTTTGCAAATTGTTGCCCCAGTTAATTCAGTACAAATAAAACCCAGAGTGGTTTATGTTTGTTTGTTTTTTGTTTCTTCAATACAATTCTTTGGTGATTTGTTTCTTTCCAAGAAATTGAAATTCACCAAAATAAGCTGATTGGATACACCTGGGTTGCATACCTTTAGGAGGAAATCCCCTGAAAAGCACAAGGAAGTTTCGCTTTGGAGGATTCAACAAAAGGGGAAACTCTAAAACAATGGATTTAAATTGCTGGAAAGCTACTTCAGGCTCTGTAAGTCATCTCTGCAAACATCAGTTATCACAATCGCTTTCAGGTCTAGGCGGGTCCTAGGCCTGTTGAGTACCACTTACCTACAAACAGATTCCACTCAGTGTCCAGATCCGCCTGGTTGGCTAGACAGCCCTTCATGACATTGAGGCAATAGTTGTTGCAAGGTCTCACAGCAGGCAAGCCTCGACAGTAGGGGCAGTACAGCATCTTCATAAGAGCCCGGATGCATCCAGGGGTGGGGCTCACCTGTAAGTATATAAGACGGGAAAAGTCAGAATCACAGAGGTGAATGGGAGGGGCAGAAGTCTTGCTCTCCTAAATAACACAGGCATAGCCTTCAGCAGTCGCAGGCTTGAAGAATCAGTGAGGAACAGAGCCCTTGCCAAGTTTTGATATGGAAGCCGCTCAATTCCTACTCAATACTTGTGCTCAGAAAAGTAATTGCTTCCTGAAAGGCTCCTGCCACATCTTGCTCTTCCTCTCTCTGGCACTGCAATTCAAGTTGAAAACATGGACACTGTTTCATTGCCGTAGAATGGGCAGTGACATAATGCATGTACAGGCAACTTGCAAAGCAAAGAGCTCTATAAAGACGCAGTTGCTATTAAAGTTTAATGTGACACTTTTAGCAAAGTTTCCAAATGGTTACTCGATCCTTTTCTAGCAGAGCTGGCTGATAACCTTTCCGTGTTCATAACCATATACAGGCTCACTCTCGTCTGGGATCTACGTGATCCAGGCCTGCACAGAAGTTATGGACCTCGTAAATAAAGCACTGCATTCTGGTATCTGAGGATACCTAACTCTAGCAAAGCTCCAGCTTGGAATGCAAGCAGGGATTCTCTCAGGAGTTCAGAGTCATCACTAACCCAGCCCCAATGAAGTGATATCTTTCCGAGCAAGGGGTGCAGTGTCCCCAACCAATCCTAAAGCAGCAAAACGTGTGGCTCCCAAAACATGTCAGAACATGAAGACAGACAGAGGAAGGCAGTAAAAGTCTTCCTCTTGGAAAGACACAGACACCATGTTCAGGAACTCACAACAGGTGCCTCAGCACTTCATAAGAAAGGGCCTCTGAATATTCATGGCTTGGTGGGGGGCAGCGACCCATCCCCAACTCTTGACCTGTTTACTACTGATAGGTTAAGTGAGAGAATGATTCATTACCCTAAATTGTACACCCGACGGTGGCCCCACTATGTCCCAGTAGATAACCCCAATTCACTGGTTACACAGATGGCCATGGTCAGACTAAGTAAGATCACAAAATATAAAAATCAGATGTCACAAATCTAGGAATGGGACTGGTAAGTCTAAGCGGTGGTGGCCATAGGGGTAGGAGGGAAATAGGAATAGATGTTCATGTGGGTGTAATATTTAATCAAGAACAGTGTGTGTGTGTGTGTGTGTAAAATGCAGATGCATATATATTTATCAACATGATTGACCAATACAAAGAAAACTATGTAGTAATAAGAAATCATTAACAAAAGAAGAAAATTGTAATTCGATGTCAAGAGTAAAGACACATTGAAGCCTTTTAGCTCCCACCAGCCAGCCTGCCTCCTTCCTGGGTGGTAGCAGTTACATCATCACCTACAGCATAAGCTAAGGACAGAAAGCTGTTTCTCATGACTGGATGCCAGAATTATTGTGCAGTTATTTGGCTGGCTGGCACTTACATGGTTTTGATATTTTAGTTAAGTTTCTAACTACGCACTGCTCTGCTTGTATTTTAGAAATAAGGAGAAGCCAGGTGTGTGGTCCAGATCTCCTTAAGAGCATGGTCTCACAGACAGGCATTGCTCTTGGAACGTCTCCCAGAAAACACTGCAGGACTGAAACAATGTGATGATAATTATTTTCATACTTTACCACTGCCATTCCCTGACTGGCTGTTTTTTTTTTTTTTTTTTTTTTTTTTTTTGCCTAGAAACCAAACTTAGGTATGTTTAATACAAGGCTTTGGTTTCTGTAACCTGACAAATAACTGTATAGGAAAATTGGCATTTGTATCTGGTCATACTTCTTATCCTGTTTACTGGTGAGGTCCAGTGAAACCTCTGATGGACTTCCCCTGCCCCTGTGATTTCTTAACCCCAGAACCAGAGAGGTTAGGGGCACCTGATGGGAGGTGTCATTCTGTAAATGTTTCTCGTATTGGTTAAGGAATAAACCCTGTTGGCCAATAGGAAAGCAAGATAGGCGGGACTATGAGACAAGGGGGGATTCGGGGAGAGGGAGGAGAAGATTCAAGATGTAGAGACTTGAGAAGAAAGTCCGGACCCTCTCTCTGGTAAGGTAAGACCACGTAGAAATACTTAGATTGATAGAAATGGGTTAATATTTAAGACAGAGCTAGCCAATAGGAAACGCTAGTAACTGGCCAACAGCGTTATATCTAATACAGAGTCTCTGTGTGTTATTTGGGGCTGACGTGGCTGTGGGACCAGGCTGGCGGGAAAACTGCTCATAACAAATACCCCTTACTTTCCAGGTGCTTTTAGTGATTTGGAGACATAGGCTTAACAGGGATAAAATTGCAAAATCCTAACCTTATCAAAGTTACCAACTTGTTGTAAATTGTTGATGACAATTAAGACACACAAGTTAGTGGTCAGCCACACTAAATATGAATGAAATTTATTTACAGAGACAAGCTTGCAGGAGAAAACCAACTTATTACAACCCTTGAAGCCCACACAGGCTTTGGCAGTGAAGCCTGTGGATATTTTCTAAGAAAGTCCAAAAGCCAAAAGCTCATTTAACTTGGTTACCTTGCTTTACAAATTATGCTTTTAAACAACCAATCTACATTGAGCTAGAATTGCGTTAAGAATTATGCTTATGCTGTCAGTAGTGGTGATCTTGAGAGCTGCCCTTCGTACATTTGGCTTTAGCCTTCTTCGTCAGTCCAGCCCAAGCCACATGTAAGTTACAGATTATAGCGTTGACAGGACTATCTGCTTTCACCTTTCCTGTGTCTTCTGGTTCAATGTATGGAGCGGAATGTTGGAGTTGTTAATGTTCCCCTCAAAGACACAGTAGCTGTCTCCTGACTTACGGTCTGGACCTTTCTTTCGGTGGATCCTTCTTTGAGGCACCCCAATCACTGCGTCCTCGTTGTCCTTTTGGCAGCCACTAAGCAGTTACAGAAGAGACTGCTGCCCCCAGATCCCTAAAAGCAGCTCACATGACCTGGGTCAGGAGGACTAATGGGGCATGGACTTTCCAACTCACGCCTCTTCTCGCCAGCCTGGACTGCATTTTGGAGAATCGGAACTAGAATGAACCGAAGCCTCCTTCGCATCCTTAGCTTCACCTCCTTCAGGACCAGCTCGGCTCCCCGACTGCTGCCGTACCTAACCCACAGCTGAAGGGACTAGATCTGAGTACTGCTAAGGATCTGTGCTCGCCTCTGCTTGTGGGCCAACACATGCTAACTGGTTTGTAACGGGGACTAGAGACGGGGACCACAAAATATGCCGGTTCCCTCGCACTCTGGCTCCTCCCCTGGAAGACTCCTTCCCTCCTAATCACACTCACGCTTAGGTTTTTACTGTCTTTTAAGTTATTAACGGAACTTCACTGTATGTACCTGAGCAAAATGGTCATGCAAGCTCTTGCCACAGCTCCTTTTGTGCTTGACACATCTGCCAAAAGCCCCTTTAAATGCTGAGGGGAACCGTCGTCCTGCTCACTCAGGTGATGCCACGCCGACTCAGCTCCATGGCCCCTTTCTCTTACTGGCCCACGCTGTCTCTCCTACCTTCCCTCTTCCCCTCCCCAAACATTTCCAGAAAGTCTTTTAGTCCTACTCTATAACCAAATCATCTGCTTCTAGTAGTTATTTTCCAAGTCTGGTCAGGAATACAGGACTGCAATCGCCTGATCCATCACAGTGAGTCAAGTTAAGCCTCTCACCTCCCCCTGCTCCATGGACCAGAGGATCCCCTCTTCAGTGAACTCAGGACTGCCCCGCTGACACAGACCCTCCTGGGCAGAAAAAAACAACTTTAATGCACCTGGGCCATATTTTTATACCTTCTCGGGGTTAGGAATGATAGTTTCCCGATAAAAGACTACATTTCCCAGCCTCCCTTGCAGCCCACGGGTGCCATTTCTGCTCTCATAAGAGGCACCCTCACTGATAGTGACAGTAGTGACCCGGTGGGGGAGACGCAGTCACAGCTCCATCCATCCCCGTGTTGGTTGTTTCAGTGAGAAGGACCGATGGAGTGGGATGTAGTACAAAGATTCTCCATCAACAGGTATCACAGACAACGTGGGCGAGGAAGCAAGTGAGGGAAAGAAGGGGTTAGAAGTCCATGTTTCTCTACTGTGTTGACATGAACGAGAAAACCCTCCTCCTTTTCATCCCTGGTCCAGCTGATCTTGCAGTCCTTTGCTTAAGGGTTTTGTGTTTCCAAGCATGATTTTTCACAGCCTTCCTGCTTCCTCTGATACGACTTTCCTCCAGACTCAGCCTGTTCTCGCCAAGGTCCTGTTCCCACCCTGGTCCCATTCTCCCTGCGCCGTGTCCTCCTTTGAGTGGCAGCTGTTTTCTTCATTTCACTCGGGGTCAAAGTATACAACCTGATGAGCAACCTGGGTCTGTGTTCACTCAGACAGCCCTGCTCACCTGCTCCCCACTTTGTACGACAGGCACATCCTAATAAGGTCCACCTCAGAACTGTGCTATGAATTTTGTTTTCTCATTAAGTGCTTTTAGAAGCAACCTCTCCATTACCTTTCCTGGTTTCTTGGCTACATTGGTACACCAAGAAAAAAAAAAGAAAAGAAGGGAGGATCTGTAGATTTTTCACATTTAGTCACTCCCTTTTTAATGTTCCCATCAACAGCTGGCTATTGATTGGTTGCATTAATTCTAAAGCTTTCACTTCTTAAATACATAATTGTGTTGGGACCAGTTTCCCTGACATTTCAGAACAGTTTCCGACTCAGAGTAGTAACCAACAGAGACAGTCGGATAGTCATAATAATCTAAGAGAACAGTGTTGTTCAAGTTAAGTGCAGGTCTCTGAGTACTTCTGGAAGTGACGTCCTGTTTGGTCAAAGACCGGTGTTTGAGAAACCAAACGGAGCATCAGGAGGGAGTCAGCACTGAGGCTCCTCTGTTCAGGCTTTGCAGTTTTGGAGCATATGCGACCTCATGCCTGAATTATAAATAATTAAAAAACGGTCAATTCAAACTGCAGACTTTCACAATCCCCTGGAAAGGAAGT